GGTAGATCGGAGAGGGACAGGGAACCCGTGCCGAGGTCGGTGTTCGAAGATGATTGATCCTGGCACAGGGGTGCCGGTGACTTGCAGTCAAAGGTGAACAGCTGGGACTCGACCGTGCAGTTGCAGCACTAATGACAGACGAGAGCGGGAAGAGGAGAGTTGGCTGGAGGAGGAACCGTTTCAGACGCGGAGCCAGGTCTACCCGGAATAGCTTCACTCTGCTGTAGCAAGCGAAGAGCGAACTGTGGTCCACGCGAGTGGCTGAGCGCGCTGTCACACCAAGTCGCAGATGTGTGCCAAGAGAGGGTGACATTGCACAGCAGTGAACCTGGGAGAAAATCCAAGATGTCATCGGACGATTATTTTAAAAATCGACAAACCTGTTTCATCTAGTTGCCCTCTGGTGTGAATACCCCACTAACAGGTCCCAGTGGCATCTAAACACACCATCTGTTAGCGATCTATCGTCTTAGCCCAGCACACGGATCGTCTCGCCCCCCAGGGCCACATGCCTGGAACAGGAAGTTTGAGAACCCGAATACTCTAGAGTCAGGTTCGTGGGTAATTGAGCCTGATTCATCCGTCGCGATCATCTGAAAGATCAGTTTGTCAACTCTGCATGCCAACTCTGTGCACCACCACCGTAGCCCAAGGTTTGTGGGTGACGAACGATGACAAAATTGCGAGCGGTTTGTATCTAGAAATGCGAACGATTCATGAGGACCCGGTAGACTGGCTATCTCTTGATGTCTCAGAGAAAGAAGCTGTGCATCCAACACGACCTAGTCATATTTCATGGTGCCATTTTCTTCAAACCAACAACATCATTCTCCGGCCTCCCGCCTTGGACTGTCACTCTGAGAGTAATGGGAAAGTTACAGAAAATCCCTCACACAAAATCATTACAGCTAAGAGCTTTGCGAAACCTTGAGTTGGGCTCACTAGGCCTCTTGCGAGGGATGCCGAATAGCAGCTGCTGCATGATGAGTGCCTGCCACCCCTGCAGCGATTGCCAGCACATGGGCCAGGCGGGCGATCACCGTCGGCCGTTTGTGATGGGCAGGGAGATTGACAAGATTATCTTGATTGTCTGCATCCATGTCTGCCATGAAATGCTTATCCACAAACCTGGCCGGTTCTCACACGCGCATCGTCGAAGATCGCCACAGCCACTTGCAATGTGTTAGACGTTCCGTTCTGTTCCCACGTTATTCTTTCCAGTTCCAGCCTCCAAGCTAGGCTCCGCAACATTTTTGTGGCGCCAATGTCACGCTGCAAGCCCATCTGGAGGATAGAGGATCGCCATGACAAGTCACAATTGACAGCATCTGAATAAAAGGGATGAGTCGCCAAGACTGGGTTGTTAGACGACATGCACTGCCTCAAATGGGGCGGCTCAAGCTAATGGAACGTGATGATGGAACGGTTTGTAATCATTTAGATGGGCCTAAGGTGCCTCGAGAGGCTACACAGAAACATGGTTTGAGGCAAATCAGTTTGTGAAGAGACACCTGCAGAGCGACGGGGAGCTGCCATGCTCTCGTGAGCCTCAGACAGCTTCAACTAATTTGCTCTACCCGCGTATAGACAGGGATATGACGGAGTCTGATTTGAAGTATTTGATTTACACGGAAAAGTCCAGTGACACCTGGGCGTGGCGGCGGAACTAAAACCCTCACCGTGTCCTAGAGCCGTTTTTAGATACCAGTTGGAACGAAGCTGCGACCACATCATAAGTTCTCGTGGTCTTCATCTGGTAATTCATCTCCACGTCTAAGTGAGATAAGGTGACGATCGAACCCCGGAGGATTAGTTCTGCTGAACTTTGTCTCCGATGCCACACGCCCGTTTCCACAAGTCCTGTCGTGAGCCCAGGCTTGGATTCAGATTGATGGCTTGCTTCATTTCAGAAACAGGGCTGCACTGCCTCGTGAAAGGAAACGCCATTCTCAGACGATTCCATGTTCAGGCATCACGGAGAGAACTACCGATGGCCGCTGTTCCGAGGTAGCGATATGCTGTTCGGCTCGTGGAAGTCAGCCCTTCTGGGAGTTTTGACATGTCGAAGGGTTCTTCGTGGTGTTGCCGGGTGAGGCGACAACCAACGGCCCTGTCCTACCACATTTTGAAATCAATCCGGGCCTGTGATGCCGGTGTTGGTGAAACCTGGTGCGAAACTTCGAGACTCCGCCTGTGGCCTCCGCTCGTGTGGCTGGTGTGTGAGTCGTTTTCGCGATTTGAATCCGTGCATCATCGCCAAGGTCATGCTCAGAGTGGGAACAGCGATTGTGCATCCACTTGGGAATTTTCACAATCATTCCCTTTTTTGAACCGTCGAAAAATGTGTTTTTGCGATGCTGCTGGTGACACCAATACTAGAGCAAGAGTTGGCCCATCCCCCCCAACATCTACCGCATGTGCGTGCACTGCGTTAACTTTCACCTTGCGTGATCACTTGTGAGGTTGAAGCTTAAAATAACTGCGGGCGAACATGACATGCTATTTGCGTTTCACTCTCCCAAATGACACTGACAGACCTACAGACGTCCGAACATCTGAAGTCAAAGTAAACGCTGGCAACCTTGGGGCTCAAGTGAATGGGCCATCCCTGATGGAATGCCGCCTTACACCTGAGAACAGTAAGAAGACCTCGCCCCCCATCGGGAAATCCAACGGGATGTGGCCTGCACAGAGGGATCTGGCATAATCCGACACGTAATGTCTAGTACCGTTTAGGTGAATAGAAAACCCTCCGTTTCCCAACTTCTCATGTGTTCGCTGCAACTAGTCAGGAACTCACATTGACTGACTGGCTGAATCCCCTGGGCTTTCGTACAAATACTCGACATCCCTCTCGCCACAATCGCCCACTGTGCTGCGGGCTTCCCACCATCAGCTAGCGCAGATTGATGCCTTCAGCAAATCAACTATGCGCCAAGCTCGATGGTCTCTTTGATCATCTTCTCGCTTGGGACTAATTCATCTCGTAGACTCTCACCTGTGCCATGATGACTAACCCCAACATCTGCCGGGGTCTTCCCCGCATTCCCCCTGTCTCCCCGGATTGAACGTGGCCCCGTTAAGCCCGATTCCCCGCAAGTGGGATCCTCTCAACTCTAAGGCTGCGTCGTCCAACCACCTTCGTCCCATTGTAACCTCATCGTAATATGCTCATAGCCTGCATCGTGTACTCCTCTATGCAAACAGAACGATGGCCACACAACAAATCAGCTCAGCAACGCCCATACCCGTGATAGATGATGCTGCCTCACGCCGTGCGAAGAAGCGAGAACTCGACAGACGCGCTCAACGTGCAGCACGCGAGAGGAACAGGAATCGCATCGCTTACCTCGAGGCTACGATTCAGGCCATGAGCGAGCAAGAGTCCAGCGGTAGGATCGCCAGCCTGATGAATCAACTTTCCGACATGACGAGACAGAGAGACAGCATGGCCAAGGTACTGTCCTCGATTGAAACGTGCATCCAAGTCCATAGGGAAGGGGAGAAGGCAGATGGCACCACCTCCACTGACCAGGCATCCCGACCGCTTAATGCAACTTCCAACTGTCAACCTTGGTCTGAGGACCATGCTGCCTCCGGCTCACTCGCTATGGACGTTGGAGATGAAAGTAGCCTGAGCGCGTTCCCCCCTGGCGATGCCGCAATGACCTGGGGCCTCCCGGTGTCTGCTACAGCCGGTCACCTCATCACAACGGCATCGGAGTTCTCCAGCGGTCTCTCAGCACCAACATCTTTCCCAATGACAGGGGACCCCAATCTCGAACCCTTCCCCGACTCCCCCCCAGCTCCGTCGGCTGGGCAGGGCGACGGCGTCATTGTGCCCGAGCCTGATTCGGCCTGTGAGTGTTTAGCCTCAAGACAGGATCCCGGAAGTCCCGGTCTGCCGGCGGGCTCGAGTATCTGGCGATGTGCAAACGAGGCTCTTGGCGGTCGCGAGATGCTGCCCAGGAATGTGCTCGACATGGAAGACGAGATGAGCGACGATATTCCAGTACGCGTCATCCTGGAAGGCTGGGACGCCGTTGAGCGGTCTGGCAAGTTACCACCGCTTTGGAAGAAGTTGAGGCGGACCGACAGCCTCCAGTTCCGCAACTGCGCGGATACCGAACGGCTGGCTATCCTGAGACTCATGCACCGACTCCTACGGTATCAAGCGGAGCCTACAGTCGAGCAATGCTCCAAATTGCCAGCGTGGTATCTTAGCAGGTACGTCGTCCAATGTTGCTGTTGCCAACGGCACGAACGAATATCCTGACAATAGCCGTAAGGCCATCGCAGTCGCTGCCTCACTCTTCAGCAATAGACTTCTTCGTTTGGTAAGTGTTGAAGCTCGGGACACGGGTTGGTGCATCATGGACGAAAGCTAACCTTGTCGGTGTTTCTAAACATAAACAGGCCAGGCGTCCGAGAACGCTTTGTGTTTGCGCAACACCAGTACTGCTCGAACCTGTTCTGGAAGGTGTTTGCTAATAGCTTCCGAATCATGTGGCCCTTTGAGTTCCGCGATTGCTACAGACGAAACGTAGAGACCGGGCGGTACACAGTGTCGCCAGAGTTCGAAGACAGGATTAGGGACATCAACTCGTGGACCATGTCCGCGGATTTCTTCAGTCACTTCCCAGAGATGTATGCTGATATCCCGGCATACCAAGAAATTCCAAAATCTTTGGGATGGATGGATGGCAGGATGAATGTGTCTCGGAAGGGCGGACTGGTTGAGGAGCTGGAAGTCGGCAGTTCGCCAAGGAGCAGGAGGAGTTCTGACATGGACATGATGGCTTTGACAACCTTCCAAGATTGGGCATCTGGGCACCTGTTACGACCTAGCGTATCACGTTCATGAAAACGAAGCCATATCGATGCAGCCTTCGAGTAAGGATCGACTTGGCATGTGCCATCCGTGATTTGAATGAGCTTACTAGTGTTTAGGCTTAATCTTATGTTTACTAGCTAAACATTATCCTCGAATCATAGGGTTTTCACTTCTCACAGACAAAGTTAGCTGCGTCCTTCAAGTCCCCTCCTCCTTTGTATTTGAGAGACTGCGGATAGGGGCACAGATTTCGGGTCGTGTCAACGCCATCTTGAGTCGTGGTTGCAAACAGCGTGTCAGGCACTTTGCCCTTCTCAACCCAGCCTACCAGAATAGACAAAGGATCAACGGGGACGGGTCCGTATCCGCCACCGCAATGGCCGGCTCCGGGTGCAAGGAAGACTCGATAAAACTCGTTGAGGTCCTCTGTGCCTCCCATCTTCTTTCGCAGCCGGTCCCAGTAGAGCGTCGTTCCCGGATGAGCGATGAGCGGATCAGCCATGCCGTGCCACGTCAACAACTTGCCGCCGGCATTTTTGAATGCCGTCAGGTCGGGTGCGTCAGTACCGAAAGGCTCGATGTATTTATCGACCGACTGTTGGAAGATGTTCTCAAACTCCGCAAACGTCAGGGACGCGGTGTCGAGGTCTGGATTCTGGGCTACAAAGTAACGCATCCAAGCTTCCGCGGGGGCGAATGGGACGGGAACCGTCGCGCCATTTTCTGTCTTGGTATTGGCGAGCCCGCTGAACGGCGCCCCGGGAGGGTTGCCGTACCACAAAAACTCTCCAGACGTGGTTGTGGCACCCTCGAGTGTCTTTGCGACAACCTCGGCGTAGGCCTCGGTGATCGACACAACTCCGTTCGTATCAGTGCAGTTGACCTCCTGTCCGACCATTTTGCTGGTGTCGAAGTTGCACTTGTCGGGGGCCGAAATGAGACCATCCGTAGCATCATCCAAAGGATCGCATTCAGCGATGATCGCCGCTTGATAAGTCTGGAAGACGCATTGAGGCGGAGCGGCAATGTTTCCCATTACCACCGAAGGCCAAAAGTCTCCAGGAGATACTTGGGGCGTATTGATCGCAGGCGCGTTAGCCAAGATACCATCAAAGTCTTCTGGGCTATACTGCGCGGCGAAGTAGCCTTGCCTGCCACCTTGAGAGCAGCCACTGTAGTAGGAGTGCTGAGGGTCGGTGCCATAGAACGACCTGACGGCTGCCTTGCCTATGAGAGCCATCTCATGAATGGAACGAGTCGCGAAGTTCTCAATGAGGGCGGTGTTGATGCTGCGGTCAGGGTTCAACGCCCATTCTCCGGAGTTAGGATCAATCGTGTGATTCAAGGTCAAACCCGCATCAGTCGAGCCGGCGGCGTAACCTTTGGACACCGGATCCGTCATGGCAGATTCAAACGTGCCAGCAGCGAGACCTCCTCCACCAGTTGCGAGGAAGCGACCGTTCCAGTTGTCGAGTGGGAGCCAAATGCTGACGAAGACCACGTCGTTCGCACCGTCATGGTTGAGTGTGAGAGTATAGTTGCAAAAGCTGGCCTGTGACCCAGATGGATTAGACGGGAGAGTGTAGTTGTGCACTTCCACGCTCTGAGCTGAGGTCACCGTCAAGCCATCGAGTTGTGGAATCGTGACCTTGTCGCAGGCGGGCCTTGGGCGGGAGTCGTGATTGACTGACGGGGCACCAAGTACCGTCTGGCCTATCACGGTCAGGAAGAAGCACAGGAGCATCATTTTAACTCGTATCCGATACGAAACAGTGAGAAAACACCCCCTTCCGAATCAATGATCAAATGTTGCTTCTTTGAGGCATATTTAAATGCAGTGACTTCTATCTAGATCATGATGCCCCATGGAGAGATGCGCACAAATCCATAACAACAACTGACAAAGTGGAGTTTGGTGACATTGCGGGGGAGCTTACCATGCACGTTGACAGCGCCATGCTGCATATCCGAGATGGATCCAATTGACAATTCATGGCACTCCTAAGGGTCGTCGAAATACGAGGATAACTGTGCTCGTGACGCGGCTCTCCACGCCAGCCCCTTCAAGACAGATCCCCACGATCCAGATGTCTTCCACATAACCTTCATAATTGGCCAGCCAATTGTCCGGGTTTGTTTTACCGAGTAGGAGGTTCGCGAACTCTTGGCCTGCGTCGAGCCTTAGCGTAGAACAGTAGTAGTGCGGCTTGATGGATGTCCCACGTTGCGAGAGGAAAGGATTGGAGTCGGGGGCGCCAGGCTACTGACACATGGCGCCAGAGTCGACGACTCTGACTCTTGCGCCCTGACTCAGTGGCGTTGTCCATGCTCCACTCCCGCCACGGGCGTCCAACAATTCGCCGTCTTCTTGGGAGAGCCACGCGAAGGTCCTGGTCGCCGGGTTCGGGGCTGGGAAAAGACACTCCCCTCCCCGCACTACCCCGGATTACCCCGCATGCCGATTTGCCTCCTAGCGCAGCATCACCAGGGGATTGGGAATGGATGGTCGCTTATTTGGCGGCTGCTTTGGTCTTAGACCTGTTGTGTGTTGTTGAGAACATGGCACGATGGTTCCTTGATTGGAGATAATGGACTTGGCGCATATGGCCCTTGACTATCCCTGCGGGTATTTAAGAAGAGAGGGATCAGCGCTTTGAGAAAGTGCAGTTTGATGGGATTGTAGCAGCACTGCGAAGTCCAGTGTCCAGTCATTCGAAATTCACCCAGTGTTACCATGGACAATCGTGAAGCATCCCACGACCTTCGGCGAGAGGAATCTGGCACTTACGGCATTGACGAAAAGATCCACGACTCAGCCCATGTTGAGAACATCAAAGGCCAAGATGTTGGCGCTATTTGCGGTCTAAGCCCTGAGGAGCAGAAGAAAATCATGTGAGTCGCTACGATTAAAGCTGCTCATTCTTGCGGAACATGCTAACAATGGGCCAGCCGGCGAATTGACCTGCGGCTTCTACCGATTCTAGGTATTATGTACTCGATCTCGCTCATTGACCGAACGAATCTTGGCCTAGCACTTGTTGCGGGCATGCAGGAAGATCTAGGACTGGCCGTGGGAAACCGATACACAGTCATTGTTATGGTCTTCTTTGTTGCATACATGTAAGTCACTCCAATGAATTCATGTTGTGGTCTTCAAGACTAGAGAGACTTGTATTGACACAAATCCAACAGTATCTTCGAGATTCCTAGCGTATGCCACGATCGCAATCAAGACCAACCGACTCTCATTGACGATTGATGCAGAACCTTGTCCTCCCGAAAGCTGGTCCAGCAAATTGGCTGTCTTTCCTTGGCGTTGGCTTTGGTGCTGTCCTTATCGGCATGGGCTTCACAAAGAGCTGGGGTATGATGGCCCTCTGCCGTGCGCTACTGGGAGTTCTAGAAGCCGGTTTTCTTCCGGGATGCACCTATCTCATTACCTGCTGGTACACCCGTTTTGAAGTTGGAAAGAGACTATCTGGGTTCTGGATTCTGTCCGTCATCACGGGTGGCTTTTCTGCCATTTTCGCATATGTCTTGACTCTTTTGAAGGGCAAGGGGGGGTTGAACGGGTGGAGCTGTTAGTGCCCCAGTATCGTGCAATGTTCTGAGGGTAATGCTGACAGAGTTAACCAGGGATCTTCATCATCGAGGGCGCCATCACTGTCGTCGTCTGCGCCATCGGCTGGTTTATCATCATTGACTTCCCCACGCAAGCTGAAAAGTTCTTGAAGCCAGCTGAACAGGAGTTCATCATCGCCCGCATCAACCAGGACCGGGGAGATGCCGAGGAGGACAAGATTGATGGGGCGAAGATTTTGCACCATCTCAAGGACTGGCGGTTGTACTTTTGGGCATTCAACCTCATGGCCTCGACGTTGCCCGGTTATGCTTACTCCTACTTTCTACCCATCATTCTCCGCAACGGCATGGGCTTCAGCAGCACCCAGGCTCAGCTGCTATCTGCCCCACCGTACGTCCTAGCTGCCATCATGGCCTTTATTTCGGGCTGGCTTGGCGACCGGTACAAGATGCGCGGCCCCATCATTGCAGTGCATCAAGCTCTGACGGCTGTCGGCATGTTGATAACGGTCTATGGGAAGGCAAATGGTGCTCGATACTTTGGAGCCTTCCTCGGTAAGTGATCCATACCTGACATATGGTGTGGTGTGGTGTCTAAACTTTGCTCTAGGTATTGGGTTCTTGCAGTTTTGTGTTCCTGGCGTGCTCACATTCCAAGCAAACAACATCACATCACACTCAAAACGTGCAGTTGCTTCAGCGACCTGTCTCATTGGTGGTGGTGTTGGTGGCATTATCGCCAGCACAGCCTTCATGGCAAAGGAGAGCCCTCATTATACGGTAAATTAAACTTATGACGTGACATCTCCAGAGTATTTGAGATTGCTGACTCTGCTACATCAAGACCGGCATTTGGACAACCTTCGCCATTTCCATGATCAGTATTCTGATTATCATCATCATGGACATTCACCTTTGGCGATGCAACAAAGCTGCCAAGGCAGGTCATCGGCAAAATGAGGGTATGGAAGGCTGGATGTATACTCTTTAGTGAAGTATTTTATTGTAAAGTCTTATTTAAGACTCTTAAAACGCTCTGAATACACCCAACATCTACCGTGAAATCCTCGAAGACTCCTTGGAGACAATGGTCATTATCCGATGGCACACTTTTCTGCCCTTCCTGAAGGAATGTGAATGTCTTCCAAGCCGATCACAAGGTGCTTATTTTTGAAGTCCATTGAGGGAAACACAAGTCCTATGATTTTGGGGACACATCAACCAGCCCTCACTTTCCCTCAATCGCTTCCGAGATGACCCCTAAGGCTGTAATGCCACTACCGTCATGAGGACGCTAGCATGGTTTGACTGTAAGTAACTGCATCCCACGTAACGGTCGATATGATTAGATATGTACTGACATGACTTCCATAGAACCCTGTGATTGCTGTTCCAGGAGACGCTGTAACTACGAAAGGTAGACTGCTGGGTGGATCAGAATGGAATGAGAAGAAACATGATCTCTCTCGATTTGTGGTCGTCTTCATGTCATTCGTTCAGTGCTGGTTCTCATAGAGTGACAAGAAGATGACTGTGAGTGACTAACCTTAAATGCCACCACAGTCCCTTCTTCGACCAGCCAAGGGTAACCTTCGTTGGGGTAATGCTGGAACACCTCGATAGCATTGATGAATTCGCCTCCAGCTCCATCGATCGCGAAGTCGGTAACTTTGGTCCACTCTCCCGACGCCTGGCATCCGAACGTCTGATGTTCCGAAGGGACTGCAATGTCGTATGTGAAGTCAATGCGCCGTATGCCGCTGCCACCTCAGATGACGCTGAGATTAGTGAGATTTCGAAGGTAAATGCCACCTGAACCACCAAATGAAGTCCAAAATAAGGGTTTGTATCCGCTCAAATAATTCTCCCTCGGAGGAAAGGATGCTTCGTTCAAGCAGAGGTTTTGTTCCGGTACATCAGGATACCACATTCCTGAATTTCGCAGCCTGTTTCCATCATGCAGCATTTTATTGGGCGACGGAAACTGGGAATAGACAGATAGGCTGACAATTTTGCAGCCCTTTGACGTTAGCAAATATGAGCAGCAACTTGACAATTCGTTGCACTTACATCGAATCCAATTTCAAGGTCGGCAACGTGGTCACCCACGTTTAGGCGCAGCGTCTTGGGCGACCTTTCCGGACAGCCAATCCAGGGATAGGTTGAAGACTTCGAATCAATGCACTGCAAAGCTTGAATACCCCTTTCTCCCACGGCCAATTTGAAGCCACAGACGTCTGAAGTTTCCAGAGACTGTTCAGGTGTGGCCCAGTAGCCAATTTGACGGATGCCGCCCACAACAGTGGTGAATTTGAGTCCAGTGACATAACTCATGTCCCCCAACTGAATGGAACAGACAGAGATCCGCGATAATTGTTCAGGGATAGTCACCAGATGCCTTTCGAAGAGACGACAGCCCTTGTCGAATAGAGAGTAACCCGCAACCGGCTGCTCCCACATCTCGCCAGAAGCTTCTACACGCTGGTCAGAGCATGGAGAATAATTGACGCCAATGTCGACCCAATGGAAATCCAGAATATCCACAAGCTTCTGGGCTAGATTCCAGACACGAACTCTGTTTTGTAGACCAAAGCCTCTACGCAGACTGTTCGTTCGGCGATACAGCCATCTCCAATTTTGAGTCTCTGTGCTGTGCCGAGCCTCAAAGAGCCATGAGCGGTCTGAAGAATCTCCGAATCTCGATGCCCAGAATTGTTGATTATTGAACATAGTCCAGAACGCACGAGAGACTAGGCGAAGGTTCAAGACGTCCAATGTCGGCAAACACGTCGCGATCACTGACCGGAGTTCTTCTGGAAGTGCAAAAAAGACGTCTTGTGCTAGCGTTGTGAATTGAGAAACCGATAATGTTGAACTTGGTGGTGATTTGGGGTCTTCGGCCAGCAGACTCTGTATGTCTGGGACGTCGTATGGATTTGTTGTGAGGACAGGATCGGGCCCTATGTACTCTCGATCGGAGAATCGGTCCTCCCATGGAAATCGGTGTTCATTATCAATGAGGACCGGTCCCTCGTAGTCGTGGCCCCAGCTAATGCTCACGCCATTCGCTGGGAACGGAAGCGATTCTCAGACCCCAAACAGTCTCTTCAGTGGCACCTGTCCGGGATAGAAGGCTTGCTCTAGGAGATCCCAGCAGGCTTCGTGAAAAACGAATCCACGTCTCTGGTTGACTTCACCCTGACCCATTGCGCCGAATTGGTCGTCATGGGGGCTCTCATAGGAAGAGTCATCCCATCGGCCGTTGGAATCGACAGGGGCAATGAATGCGCCCCTTTCCCGATCAACGTATAAGCCAACACCCGTGAGTATGACGCCTTTTGGGCTGCTGGAGACTTGAGTAAAGTCAGCCCTCATTCTAGCAAAAGATGACAGCAACAGTGCACGTACGAGCGCGAAACTGGTTCAACCAAGATGCATTGCCTGATGCATCGAGAACGACCCACCCGCAGAGGGTGCACGACCATATACGAGGACTCATGTTAGTTGCAGAGGACGATGTTGGGGAGAGATTGGACTCTAGTATAGCCAGGAAAAATACTGGAAGACCTCTCAGTCAACTCGGAAGAATGTCTTTCCGTCTTTCCATTGGCGGACTTGGTTTGGTACGTTGGAGCCTGTATTTGTGTGCTGTGCCTGTGTGAGGGCGTCCCATCTTACTACAAAAGGCCCTGCCGTGGCCTATGAAAACTGAACAGAAGCAGTGTCTCGATTGTTACATGGGGTAAAAAGCGAACGTGCGGCAACTTCTTCGTCTGTTTAGGACTCTGGGGTTTTATTGTGGCATAACTTTCATTTCCACTACTTCACACTACTGACTGACATAAAAATGGTTGTATTTGCCTTGTGATAACAAATTTGAAGTTATCCCTGCATTGCGGGCGACGATGTACGACAGGAGCTAGAGGCAATGAACCGCGACGATGATAACGTCCGACGACGACGACGACGGTGACGCCGACCATGACTAGCTCACAAAAAGAGTGGGTCGACCGCTTTTCAGCACATCGAGCGGGACTACTACTCCTCTCGAGCCCGCTTCTGGGCTGCCTCGTTGTCGTCAGCATTTGGCTTCTTGGGGGCCTGAACGACCATCGCAAAGTAGGAGTATATCTCCTCGGTGGAAGGCTCGTTGCCGTACTAATCAGAGTTTTATGTTAGTTTTAGTATTGAGATGAGCAATGAGTAACTTACGGCTGTGTAGGAAACCTGAAGCTTCGACTCGCCATTGTTCTTGTTCAACCAGACAATGTTCTTCGGGTTGAATCTGAGCTTTTTGGTGTCAAGGGCACTCTCAAACATTTCCTTGATTTCGCTTTCGTAGTCAATCATCTCTGCACAGTATTGCGTGCTAAGGACTCCGACAACTCTTGGGGGTTCATAATCTCCGTCCTTGTCTTCGTCGGAATCGGTCTCCGTCGAATCACCGCTCTTGTTCGAACTCTTCTTTGACTCATTCGTTTTGTTGGCGGGATCAACATCTGCAGCGCCGTCGGAGAACTCTCCATCGTCCAGTTTCTTGGGATTCCATTGGCTCATGGGGTTTTCGAGAATAGCACACAAGTGGACCTTCAGACCCAGGCTCTTGAAAATCTCGTAAAGCACCATGTCGATGCCCTTGAGACAGAATGGAAGGCCATGTTCCTCCTCAGTATGAGGATAAGCGTATGTGCTATAGATCCCCAGAAGTCTGCTCTTGGCCTGAAACTTCGTCGAAGTGACCATGGCTTTGATTTCTTGATAAAGTGGCAGCATGGTAGGGTTGAAAGCAGATGTCTGACCGGCAAGGGCTCCGTTCCCAGCGGTAGCATACAGGTTGTATGTGAGGGTAATTCTGTGGCCAGACTTGACCTCGAACACCTCGTGTTCACAATCGCTGTAGAATGCTGCCCACTGAATCGAAGGCTTGTGGGAGTTTTCGGCCCAGTCGAATGAATGGGTTATTTCGTTATGTCTCACAGCAAGCTCGCCACCCTCGTGCTTCATAGGAAGGCAGACAACGAGTGAGCCGATCTGGTAGCTGGATCGGGGAGTATCCACGTGTGCTTTGAACTTGCCCGAAGGTCCGGAGTAGATATGTGGTTAAGTCAGTCAAGCAAGTAACAACTTTACCATTCGGATGAACATGGATGAGAGACGGACAAGGTTAGCGATAAGTAAGGAAAGAGGTAGTGAGAGGTAGAGACGACGAGTGGTATCGTCGATGAGGGTTAACCATGACCGGGACAGGGAGTAAGATGGCGATGGCATTGACGAGTTTAAGGAAATAGTGAGAACAAGAAGTCTCGACGAAGGAGAAACCAGAGGCAGAAAAAAAAGGGTAAACACTTGAGACCACTCACATTCATGTTGTACAGCTCAGCACGAAGTGACCGCTTACGAAGTGACCGCTTGGTGTCGGCTGTGTCGAAGCTTGGGAGGAGGACCTGGCAGACAGCATCGATAATACCCGTTTCGTACGGGCAGAAGGTGGTGCAGAAATCATTAGCACCAAGCTTCTGAGCCTTGCGGTACGTCTCATCGAATTCATGTCGTCCGTTCAATCCGAAAGTTGCCTTCTCAGAAGCTTTGAGAAGATGCTCGAACGCCGCAGTGTCCTCGTCGGACGTGACGGGGAAAGAAACTCGATGGGGTCCGGGGTGATCCTCTGGGTTGTCCCATCGAAGGATAACAGGAGCTGAAGAGGCCTTCGTCTCCTCACTCTTCGTTTCCTTCTTACCGGTGCTTGTAGCGCCAAGTTCTCCCTGCGGCTGCTCGATAGGAATATCTCCACCGATAGCAAACGTGCCAGCAGCGAGATCTGTGGCAGAGATGGAAGCAGAAACCTGCTTGGCAAGCGCGCGAAGAGTGACTGCGGTAGACATGTTGAATTAAGAGGGTCTTTTTTTTCCAAAGTCAGCGTTCCCAGGCCTTCAAATATATATTTGTCTTAATCGAGGCATTGATTTTTATCTAGAGACGAAGATGACGACGATTGTGACAACAACAATAAGAATCATGGACAATACCGGTAATGTGGGTGAGACTAACGGGAAATTAACTGAATGTATGAGTGAGTCCTCGGGAAAAGAAGTGAGCCTAGAAGACTTGTAGCACACTCAGGTCTGTATCGCAATGGGATCTGTGGCCGGAATATTGCTGGGCTGAAGACGAATGAGGTATGTTGAGATGATAGACTGGGAACGAGATTTGGAAGAGCTGGGGCTAGGAAAGCCCTTTAAGTATTGGTGAAAAGTCCATCTCCAATGGTCTTGAACATGTATGGTCGATGGATCCGTGCGAATGGTTCAGTGCACAGCGGTTACCCAGCCCCTTACCACAAGGTGATACATTGGATTAGGTGGTGACGCTGATTGGCTTCACGTCAATGACCCTTACCTATGGTAATTAAGATCTTTACCTTTTGGGGGCTCAAACCAGGCTGGTGCGCGTGGTTGCCTTGAGTCTCCGAATGTTCAGGCAGCAGGTGGAGAAAACTAGACGTCGCATGGTACAGGCCCGTGGTATCACGCCACCCACAGCGGTAGCAGAGCTACAAAAGCCCTCACATAACATCTCGATTCTGTGCGGAGTGCATGTATCTATAGTCAAGCTGCGCAACCCTGCTGTTTCCGGTTCCTAGTCAACATGTGAAAGTTTGGGTGCAAATATTGGACCAGCGCACTTTTAATTAGAATGTTCATCCAGCTACATTTGCGCTAGGCAAGAATGGCAAAAGGTTACACCAGGCGTGGCAAGATACAATCTGAATTAGTGCGAGTCGCCATCAACGTCTGTATCTATCCCAAAGCTCTAGAATTCTTCCCTGTCAGATCCGATAGAGAAAAGCCCCCCTTAACCCGTGAACAATATTTTCTGTGAACTTTTCTGACTCAAGAGTCCTCCACACCCTTGATCACCACGGGGAAGCTGCCTTCAGAGACAGTCTGGTCTTCGTTCCAGAACAAAAGGTAGATGTCTTGGGTGTCGGTTGGCTTGGCCCAGAACTGAGCCTGAAGCTCCGAGTTGTTGTTGTAGACAAGCTGGGTAGCGAACAATGCCCAACCGTAGGTGCTCTGGTTGACGCTAACCACAGGAACCTCAGAGGTCAGACCCATGGCACGGTCCACGCTGTCGGTGATAGTGAGGTATCCAGCAGAAGTGCCGTTGACGAAAGTTCCGTTGACCTTCCAGTTCTGGCCGGTGATGGAAGGGAGGTTCCAGAGCATGGGCTCAAGGTTGGCGGACGAGTTGTCGGGAGTTTGCGTGATGTAAAGGTATCCTGGAAACCGTTTGTTAGCAATGGACTCGTCTAGCACTAGATGAACATTCGCATGCAGTGCTTACCATCATCCATTCCATAGGCGATAGGCCACGACGAAGAGTTGGTGCCGTACGCAACCAAGGTGGCATTAGTCTCAGCCTTTCTCTTCTCAATAGTGGAGGAAATGGCAGCCGCATAGGTGAGACCGGCCTGCAACAGACCAAAGACTGCGGTCTTGGAAAGATACATCGTGATTATTGGTGCGCGATAACGAGGAATGAACGACTGGAAAGCAATGGCAAACGAGGGTAATGGCCGTTGACCGAAACAAACCGAGTCCATCCAGTCCGGATCCAGAGCCATTACATACCTTAACTTAAGTCTATCCAACAACTCACTTGCATGTAAAAACAAGCGTCGGTAATCAACCCACAAAGCCTATCAACCCTACTGAATCCCCCACAATACGATGTTACCAACCGTGGTGGATTCGACGCTAAAGGTTCAGGTGAGGGGCACTTGCGAGCAGGATGGAGCTTTCCTTGCCATTTAGCCTACAGCACAGGCCCGAAAACGCGGGAGAAGCCGTTGGAAGGTCTTTTTAAGGAAACATCTTGCATTTGAATCCCTGGTTAGAGTGCTGAATCCTGGACGAATGGAGTTGTCCTTGAATAATTGGAGCCGTCTTCGGACTACCTCCACTTTCGGGGCTGGCGATAGTGCAGTGCTATGCTTCGTGTCGATCGTCCCAAGTTTAAAGTACGCGCAACCCCCTTTCGTCATGAACCTCCGTGGATGCAACACCGATAACCCCTGCAAGTGTGCTTGTCAACGCACTCTAATCCCTAAGGGCCCGGGTTGCTTGAGGCTTAAGCATACGCCAAGGTTGACAAGCTTCCTGCCGTTAGCCGTTGTGCAGCTTAATTTTGCCGTTCTAGACTAACAATGGCAAGATGTTGTTTCTAAGCGGGACCTGTAAGATTACATCGCTATGTGCTCGGGCGCAAAACGCTGCTGTCAACAGGGATTTTCCCGCTCCCGATGGCTTCAGAGTAGCCGAGTAAATCAGCCTCACGATCTTTCCACCACATTCCGCTTGATAGACAGGGAAACTCACCGCGATATTGTGGGAGAAGAAAGGGTTTCCGGCGGCAGTTGCCGTAGTAAGTCATCGTAGAGTGCGGTTCCCATTACATCACGAGGTGGAATGGAATCGGGTTGTCCGTGAGATGCATTTACTTATCAACCGTTAATGCGCCCTCTCCTGTGTTTGCTGTTGATCACTTCGGCACGCTTTGTCATTCGTTTCTGGCTTCACGCCATTAGTCTGTCTTTAACTTTGTTTCTTACTTCCAATCGTTCGCAGTCCATAATGGTTTCCGCCAAAACATTCGCTACTTGGGCAGTTGCCGCCATTGCTGGCGTTGCCGCTGCTCCCTCTGAGCTTCACCATGTCGCCCGTCGCGACTGTGGAAGCAAAGGAAATGCGGTGTCTCAAGCCGAGACAGCCCCTGTTGCCGCAACTTCTCCCCAGACCTCTACCGACGGCCAGTCTACCAACAGCGGTCAGACCACTACCGGTGGCCAAACCACAACTGGGGTCCAAACTTCCGGCAGTGAGACTACCACCGGTGGCCAGACCTCTACCAGCGGTGCGGCATCATCTGGCGATGACAGTACCTGTGTTAACAGCCCTACTAGTCGCCAGTGCTGGCTTCCGGGCTACGATCTGACGACCAACTACTATGAAGATGTTCCCGACACGGGCGTTGTCAGAGAGTACTGGTTCAACATTGAGAACACCACTGCTTCCCCTGACGGCTACGAGATGCCCGTGCAGTTGATCAACGGATCCTTCCCCGGACCCACCATCATCGCCGACTGGGGTGACACCGTCAGTAAGTAACAGCTCATGGCAAACAACTTACATCTAACGGAGACTAATTGCGTCTGCCAAAAGTTGTTCACCTGACCAACTCCCTCCAAACCAACGGAACTGGTCTTCACTTCCACGGCATCCGCCAGAACTACACCGACCAGATGGATGGCGTTCCTAGCATCACCCAATGCCCCATCGCCCCTGGAGACACCTACACCTACAAGTGGCGCGCTGTTGAGTATGGCACCGGCTGGTACCACTCTCACTTCTACGTTCAGGCTTGGGACGGCGTCTTCGGCGGTATCACCATCAACGGCCCCGCCACTGCCAACTACGATGTCGATCTCGGCCATCTCTTCCTGAACGACTGGTATCACGTAAGCCAACAATAGTGCAAAGCTCCGTGTGACAGCATCAACTAAACGATTTCAGCAAACTGCCGATGAACTCGTGTCCCATGCTGCCACCGGTGGCCCGCCGACTGCAGTCAACGGTCTCATCAACGGAACCAACACCTACAACGACACCATGGGATCCCGATTCGAGACTGTCTTTGAGGCTGGCAAGAAGTACCGCCTGCGTCTTGTCAACGCCGCTGCCGACAACCACTTCCGCTTCATGATTGACAATCACACCATGGAGGTCATTGCCAACGACTTCGTTCCCATTGTCCCCTACAACGCCACCCAGCTCAGCATCGGCATGGGTCAGCGTTACGATATCATTGTCGAGGGCAAGGACCTAACCGACGGCGACTTCTGGATCCGCGCTATTGCTCAGGAGGCCTGCTCCGAGTCCGATGCTGTTGACGATGTCAAGGGTATCCTCCGCTACTCCAACTCCTCCGCGTCCGAGCCCACCACCTCTGCCTACAGCTACGATGATTCCTGCGCTGACGAGCTGTCCTCGAACCTCATTCCTCATCTCGCCATCAACGTTTCTTCCGAGTACATCTCAACCGATGAGAACGTCGGTGTCATGGTCCAAGACAACGCCCTGCTTTGGACCATGAACAAGACTTCCATGCACACCCAGTGGGAGTACCCGACCGCTCTCCAGCTCTCCCAGAAGAACGAGACCTGGCTCTCCAAGCAGAACGCCATCCGCTTCCCTCAGGTCAACGAGTGGGTCTACATGGTCATCCACTCCCCCTTCGCGCAGGATCACCCCATGCACCTTCACGGCCATGACTTCTGGCTCCTGGACGCTGGCTACGGTAACTTCGACCTCGATCAGACCGATCGTCTGACTCTTGTCAACGCCCCGAGAAGAGACGTCGCCATGTTGCCTGCTAGTGGTTACATGGTCATTGCTTTCCCTACCAACAACCCTGGTGTAAGTCTTCCGTGCACTTTACTTGCCGAGGTTATTGCTAATTATGTCTCCTAGGCTTGGTTGTGCCATTGTCACATCGCTTGGCACACGTCCGAGGGTTTCGCTGTCCAAATTATTGAGCGCGAGTCCGAGATTGAGTACGACAGTGGCGCGCTGAATAAGACCTGCACCAACTGGTCCAACTACGTTGCCAGCGTTGACCTGATCCAGTACGACTCTGGTGTTTAGAGATCTCAGCAGTAATGGTAATCACGGGGTCGAATCGGTGTAATAATTCAAGTACATAGGTTGAAAAGGAAAGCGAAATTTCTGGAGCCAATGGCATGTCGTTCTTTACCTTGCAAATACGTTCACAGTGCTTAGTGACGCTCACTTATGTGACAAATTGGCCTGTGATGATTGTGAATGTGCAGAGTTCTTCTCATTTCTGCCCCGGTTCTAACACATTGATCAAACCATGCCGAGGTATTATTGACACGAGATTTCCGCGCTACATCTGCCGTCATATGCATCATAGCACTCACAATGGACTTTTTGTACGCGACGTCTCATTGGGAACTCCACGGTATGCTACTACAATTTTTCATGATCGTGGGATGCGGTGTTTCCGAAACGGAAATAATTTCAATGAGCATTGCGCCTCACAGTCCAGGGGGGATTGGAACTTAAGCATCTTCCTTTCTTAAGGAAGCCATCTCACAGGGTGTAAGTAACTGCCAGTCGCTACCTCATGGTCATTATGACCTATAAGTTTCCCCCCTCGACGTTTCGTAGCCCATCTAGGAAGTGTCTGGGTGTGCTTAAGATACAAAGCCGTCACACTATGCTTGTGAAACAAAAGGCAAGAGGTTTTGCAGAACCAGTCAAGAAAGAACGCATCTACCGCAGAACTTTACAAACATTCGGCGTTTCTGTGGACTTTCGGGTTCCATGTGGAGAGACGGTAACACCGGGAGCAACTTGGACTTGTTCGTAGGATGTGGGCGCCGTGCAATGTCACAGCCGGCCCTTGAGTTCGGGAATGAGGGGGGATCACTGCATTAGCCCTTAGGATCTCTCGGTTCATATGACGCGTCGTGATGCGAAGACCTATTTTTACCTGCGTATCAGAGATAGGCTCTCCGCGGCAAGCGTACAGGAGAAAGATCCTCCCTCGCATTCGGGAAAAGAGAGATGATATCCATTCTTGTGTCTGGTGATGACTTCTTATTTGAATTAAACGCCATACGATGAAGTGCTGCAGTCAGTGATGGACAGTATCCGTGTCCGTTGTCGATCATCACGCCAACATGTGTATGTCGGACTTTGGTGGACTTCCAACCCCCACGTCCTCCGGCCGCCCGAATACACTCAATAGGTTTCCGACCTTTTGAACAATGGCCCGCGGTCAACTTCGCGTGTGAAAATTGCCAAAATAATCTGGCGATCTGATTGACTGGTTGATAAATCTGACAGATAGAATGCTAGTGAACATTGAAGGGAATTCTCGTGTCGACGTGGCCGAGAAGGTGTGTGAAAAGGTAGATTACATGGCACGTCTCGTAAACTCTTATCAGAGGAGATTTCAAAAGGGTTAGGTGACCAAAGCCTTCTATCCCATCGTTTCCGCAGCTTTCTAGACTGCCATATTTCCGATTCCCTCCATGTGTTGCCTAACAGAAATCAACTTGATCTGAGTCGCGGGGTAAATCATCCGACAACTCAGATTGGCTAGCACTTCTATCAAGATCAATCGTCGATTGATAGCCTTTTTTGCAACATTGAGCTCACAGCTCTTGGATGCCGCTGAAAGTTTCGTCTTCTATCATCATGATTCAACCCAATCTTCAGACTGCAATTGTATTGGACTTGCCACGTTTGAACTCTGAAAAGACCCCGCATCTCGTACTTCAAAAGACAATACTTCAGCAAACTTTGGAGCGCCAAGCCGATCATCCCGCTTGACTCCGATTGCCGTGGAAGACTCGTCTAGTTACTGCCGCATACCAGATGTGCCAACCAAAACTTCACATTTCAGAGCCTGATGCTTCCGGACCTTTTACCCCCCACCACCGTCCAGTCATCACGCTTACTTCGTATATGCAGTCCTCATTTGAAAACGCCAATACATCGGCAGTGGCATCCTAGGTTTTTCGTTGCCGCGAATCTCGCTTGATGTCATCTTACATCGGCAGCATGTTTCACTCTTCAGTGAAAAAACAATATGGATTGGCTGCAGAATTTCACGGCGTTGGTGATGGCCGATGTGATGAAGATACCCACCCGGAAACGCTTATCTATTGGATAGCCTTTATCGGCTCCCCACGAGTCATCTCCGACCCCTCAGGAGGCGCCGTTGCCGCCCCTGAGTGTCCTTTCCAGCCAGATTGCAACAGGAGCTGTAACAGCGCGGCCTTGATACGCTTCAAGAGAGGCACATTCCGACGAAAAAGTGAATTTCCTACAAGTGCACCTTCGTAGGGACGATCACTCGGTTTCGGGGTCCTAATTCTGGAAGTGGGGATGACTTCAATTGGAACATTTGGAACATGACTGGTGTATGTTCAGCCACAAACAAGTCGTGGACTTTCTGTGGTGAAGCAGCCACAGCAGCTGAGCCACACCGTACCATGCATGTCTGTCATACATGGATGTCATACCTACATACTAGTACATGGATGACATGCATTAACAGACAATGACAGCTAATAGTACGAGGAGAAGTATAAAAAGGCATTTCCCCCAACATGCAAGACAAGATCGGATTGCGCGAGCGACTTGTGTAAAAGGGGCGCCCCATTGAGGCACGTGAACCGGACAGCTCATTTCCATAGCTGCGATGCGAGGCATATCCATGGGCGACGGGCTGTCCGTGTCCCCATCGGAGCTACCACTGGAACGTGTTTAGGTGTTGATCGGTCATTTACTGGCAGCCGGCAGCGGCCGGCGCTCCCGGGCGAACCGTTCCCACTGTCTTCCATTCCTCCAGTCGACACCCTGGTCAGGGGCTGTTGCCGTGAAACGAACCTGTGGAATTAGAGTGGTAATATGGCCCCTGCATCAATGCGATTTCCAGGCCAATTTTGTTTACTTCACGTGATCTCCACTGCCATTTCCCTTCATCTGGATCTCGAGGCCACATCAGACTGACTTCACGCACTCTGACTGACCAAACCACGAAAGGGGGACAAGAGCCTCACAGCACTCCATCGAGGCAACATGGCGACCAAACGCGATTCCGGCGAGTGGGCAGGCCCGCGACGGCTTCCCTCCGTCAGGGAGAAGCTGTCCGGCTTCGTGAAGCGAGGCCGCGGCCTGGCCAAGAAGTCAACACTGTCGCTCATCGGAGAGCGCAGCCAGCGACCATCGCTGGATGAGAGCCAAAAGGCCCTCCCGCGAGTTGAGGTGCAAGCCTTTGGGACGTCAAGCCTCGAGATCGACTTGACCTCGCTCGAGGCTTTCCGCGACGTCCCGATGCCGCCGCCACAAAAGAAACCGGAGCAACAACAGCCTCCACCGACGACCTCATCCACGACCCCCATTGCGGACATGTTCTCCGCAAAAAGGACCCCTCTCACTGAGCCCTCACCAGCCAACAACTACTCACTCAACAAGTCTTCACCATCACTCATCGATGCCTTGAAGAAGTCCACCAGGGCCGAGGACCGTCGTTCTAGCATGGTCTCATCGCAGGCGGCTCAGACGTCGGACCCTGCCACCAACGTGACCGTCATCAATCTCACTCACTCGGTGCCTCACACCGCGAAGCCATGGCCGCCCCCAGAGAAGCCGCGCGCAACTGTACCTAACCGCCTACAAGCCAACAAGCCTTCGGACTCAAAACAGCCCGGTAGGATACAGCTTCGCGAACCCCGGCGGGCCGCCTTCGTGCCATCGGGTCCCGCCGCCATCAACATGCCGCCAATGTCGAGGCCTCGCCTCAATGCCGACATCGCATCCGAGATCGTTGAAAAGCGCTACTCGACGCCGCCGACAGGACTGTCTTCACTGGGTGCGGCGCCAACTTCCGTTCCTGCCGAGACCATCCGATCAGATCGGAGGAGGTCCTGGCAGCCGGCGCCGACGTCAGTGCCTTCAGGCAGCTCAACGCCGTCTGCACCACCATCTGCGTCCGCGCCGTGGCGTAACGGACTGGGTAACCGACGCATCTCACCGCGTCTCGCCACGGATCGTCTGGCGTGGATCAAGGAGCTGGAAGAGGGCAAGAAGAAGACATCGATCAATGGCGATCTCCCTGTTCTCAAGAGTGTGCAGGGCAGTGTGGCAGACAAGCTGGCTAGGTTCGAGCAGAAGCAGCAGCAACAGCAGCTGGCACCACTCACCCGCTCGAACTCGACCAGGAGTCGCAATTCGTCGGTTGCGGACACCACCTTCTCCTCGTATGGAGGCGCGGCTACGAGCCGGTCGTCACTGGACAGCCACCGAGCTTCATCTGTGTTCTCGCACTATGACGACACGTTCCGTGAGAAGATGGAGCTTGTTGCCGGGCGTAAGGGTGATGAGGAAGCTGAAGAGAGGCCGGCCCTGCAAAAGGTTACCACCAGCTTTGTGTCAATCGGCAAGAAGGACAAGCAGGCAAGCGTCGACACGGCTCAGGCCGCTGAAGAGCCCAAGGGGGATGAGAAGGTTGAGGAGGTTGAGAATACTGGAGATGAGAAGGTCCCTGACGTCAAGATCGAAGAGTCCAAGGTTGAGGAGGCCAAGGTCGAGGAGGCCAAGGTCGAGGAGGCCAAGGTCGAGGAGCCCAAGGTCGAGGAGCCCAAGGTCGATACGGTCCAAGCCGAGGAGCCTAAGGTCGAAGAGGCTCAAGTGGAAGAGCCCAAGGTCGAGGAGCCCGAGGTCGAGGAGCCTCAGACCGAGAGCGTCCAGGAGACTGAGGATGTCGAGAAGGTTGATGACGTGAAGGTTGACGATTTCGAGAAGACCGTGGAGGCCGAGAAGATCGAAGACGTTCACCAGATTGAAAGCAGCGAGAACGTCGAGGAAGTCCAGAATGCCGAGGAGGTCCGGAACGCCGAGAAGGTGGAGCTGGCCGAGGTCGTCGATGTGCCTCAAGTTGTCGAGGAGGTCCCCGAGGTTGTCGCTTCCAAGGACGTCGCCGAGGTCCCAGTTACCGACAAGGCCGACGCCACCAATGAGCCCCGCGAGATCGACGCGACGCAGACTGCGGAGGAGCCCCAGGCGATTTAGTGGATGACGTTCTGCGGGGACGAGTTTGTTTGCATTTGATTTTTTGACACAGCGAAGGCGTATGTGGAGGGCCCGTCAACAGCAGGGTTCCCTACTTCGCATGATTATTCCCCCCGACAATCCGGACGGCGGGCGCGATGCTGAGTTCGCCAAGAGCTTCTCGCCGGACCTGGATGTCGACCTGTTTATTGCATAGTTCTTTCACATGATGATGATTAGATGTCGATAATGATCAAATTGAGATGGCCTGGACTTATTGTTCGTTAATTAAGGCATCTGAACTTCAGAAACTCAGTCCAACCCGCACTGCGCGAAGTTGTCAAGCTACATGAGTGACATTCCTATACGGTTGACCTGGTTGTTTGCTCACGGATGTCTCCTTCGGACCGCTCAATGTCCTCAATCCAAGCTCACGCACTACTCACGTTGCATTACGTACTTTCGCCTCCGTCCTCCCAAGAGTCCGTGACTGTTCACGTCCAGAGAAAGTGCATATCTTTGCATGCGTATATCGATCGCCAAGATTCTCAAGATCCGAGCTGAGCTCAGTTCACTGCTGACTGTAGATGCTGTAGAGAAAATCGAGGATGTCGGTTGTGTTAGGTCTGTACACCTTTGTGATGATATCGATCCCACCACCACGCCTTCTCCCCCTCAAGATGGCATAGACTCCGGATTAAGACTCCGATCACGTGCCTGGTCCTAATGCATGGTCGGATCCATCAGAGCCATTTGCGAAAGCGTTATGGTGGTGCACATGATAAATCAAGTCAATGCTGAATAAAAGCAACGAAGACGTGTCTTGGGATCTACAGTCTGGCGAGGAAGATATCCAGATAGGAAAGTTGAAACACCATCGTTTCCCATGGATGGGATTTACAGCTTCATCAAAGTATAGAATATGTAAGTCAACGGTTGTAGTTCAATATAATTCATTTCAGAATAATTAAGGTGTATTATTTTGCAACCGAAGGCAATTTTTGATTACATTTGGCAATGGAATATCGCATCACAGTTCACTCAAGCTGGCTGTGTCTGCAGGTCCCCTCAGGAAATGGACATGAGCGCAGGGGACGCATATAAATCTCCTCACAGCTTAAGCGGCCAAAACAACAATAACGCTGGGTGAGGATCGTTGACCGTACGTAGGAGTCTGTCACGGTGTCAGCGCTAAAATTAGAAACATCGAGTCCTCGACTAGCGGGTATTGAACCCCAAAAACGGACGGTCGAAGCGCCCCGCGTTGGGACTGTTAGCGCAATCCTTCACGCGGCCCGGGGGGAGATCCCGCGGTTGCCTAGCGATCTCAAGTTCTTACCGTCAACAACATCAACCTCCACTGATTCACCGTCTGGTTTCAACCGTGACCGGGTGAACTCGTACATGGGCCTTTCCCGCTGCATTCGGAAGAAAATCTCCGCTGAGTCTTTCCTCGAGAAGTCTGTGCTTCTCGAAGTCCGGTTCCTTTGCCTCAAGCTATCGTCTCAGTTGACGTTATCTCACGGTAACCGCGTCGTCCGATCACCAGGCGCCACCCAAATCACATCCAAATCCAGCTTGAATATGAGCAGACAAACAAGATCGTCTACGAGGAAACAAAGTGAGGACGCGCATCAATCATCACCCGGTCCACCCGGGTCCATGATCTCATCGACTCCAGCCTATATCCCAACCTTGCGCTTCGAAAACCAATCCAAATGGGAAACATGGCTGGCAGAAAATTACGCTACCTCATCTGGCTTGTGGGTTCAGATTGCCAAGAAGAACTCGAATATCCTGTCAGTGACCTATGACGAGGCGCTTGACATCGCGCTGTGCTTCGGATGGATCGACGGCCAACGCAAGTCTCATGATGAAGAGTACTTTGTCCAAAGGTTTACGCCTCGTCGAAAGAAAAGCCTCTGGTCCAAGAGAAACGTGGACAAGGTTGCCAAGTTGATTGAGACTGGCCGTATGCAACTGTCGGGACAGGTTGAGATCGATGCGGCGAAAGCGGACGGTCGCTGGGACAGGGCATACTCTTCAGCCAGCGTGATGGAGGTACCACTGGATTTTCAGACGGCATTGGAATCAAATGCCAATGCTAGAAAATTCTTCGATGCACTCAACAAGACGCAGAGATACTCATACCTGTGGAGGATTGAGACGACGAAGAGACCGGAGACACGGAAACGCAAAATCGGACAGTTTGTGGAGCTACTCGCTCAACACAAGACTCTTTGAAAGCGCTTTTGAAATGTAGTAATGGAAAGATTAGTAATATCTACTTTGCAGCGATTTGGCTTGCATATTTCATGCCTGTACTCGTGATAAAAGGAATATCCACCACAGGTGCCTCATGAGATACCTTATCCCAAATCCTGTCAATGCGGCTGACAATTGCCGCAGGCAGGGGTCCTTTTTTCAAGCCGGCGAGATTATCGCCCAGCTGAGATACACTGCTTGCACCCATTACGATGCCGTCTTCATGTGCTGGGTCGAGAGCAGAATTGAAAGCTACCCATCGAGTGGCTAGATCATATCTCGACACACCCGCGTCCTGGGCGATCTCATTCCAAGCTGTCAACGCCTCCAACATTGACGGCTTGTTGTACATCTCATTGTAGAAGAAGCCCTGAGCGCCTGCCTCTTTCCCGAATCGGCCAGCTCCGTCCACGATCTGTTGCTTCGTCTTTGCTAAGAAGCCTCCAGCCGTAGGACTGTAAGCGTAGAAGGAGATGCCAAGTTTGCGTAATGTTGGAAACAAGGTTCTCTCAAAACTTCGGGTCAAGGGATTATAGTTCCCCTGGTAGACGGTTGGAAGAACCCAGCCTTTGGATTTCTGATGGTCGTAGATTCTCTGCACCTCTTCGGCCGTGTGATTGGAAACGCCGAAGCGCCGAAAAGCTCCATCTTTGAAAAGCTGTTGGATACTTGAAAGAGTTTCCTCGATGGGTATAGTATGATCAGGGCAGTGGAGGTAAAGAATGTCGATTTGCTTGATATCGAGTTTCTGCAATGATGCCTGAGTTCGCTGAATTACTTGGTCTTTGCGCAGAGAGCCAGGGTCCATGATACCAGGAATTTTCGTAGCGATGTTGAAGCTTTCTCCAGCTCGAGCTTCACCGAGGAGCTCTTCGCTGTCACCGTAACCTTGTGCGACGTCTATCTCAGTCACACCTCTCACACGGAGATCTTCGAGGCATGACTTGAGGGAGGCGGGCGTCCAGTTGTCTTTGGACAAGAAAAGGCCCCCGCCAATGATAGGCTTAACTGAAGCCATGGCCAGGATGAAGACTCAAGGGAAGCTACAGAACAGCTTGAGGAAAGAGATAACTTTAGAGTGACAGCAGTTATGCATGGGAGCTCGGGGCCAAGACGGACTTCACGGATATCAGATATCCCATTTCTGAAATACGAAACCGAGGTACCGGCGGCTTCGGCGCCTACGGCGGTCAATCAGCCGCCCCGTGCCTGGGTTCCTCCGCCCGCGGTCCCGTTGAACAAGTCTCCGTCTGCGGCGTTGAACTCTCTCTTGCCTCATTCTGCGTAATGCAGCAATCGTCAACGCAACTGTCCGCTTAGTGAGCGGAAGCTGGCTACTCATGGTGTTGCTTAAAGTTTCCATGGCAAACTCAGCTTATATCCATTCTGGCGCTTATTGGGTCAAGTCGCCTCACACGGGTCGTCTCGTTGCCGTCAAAATGGGCCTAAACCTTATCTTCAGCGCATCGTCACATTGAGCGGGGGATGTTCCCTGCCCAAAGACAGCCGAGATGGGGCCTGGAAACTGGGCCCTTTGCCAACTGTTCAGTGCTTTTCAGGCCTTGACTTGGCATTGAGACCCTTATGCAACGGCGCCTGTGAGGATGGGATTCTCAAATGCGCTGTTTACCATAATCCTCCACAATCTCTCGAAGTTTGAAGACGATCAGACGCAGATGAGGGGCTGAGAGAACAAGGTTAACCATGAGTGCTCATCTAGATGTCGACTTCTACTTGCCCAATCCACCATGAGCCTCTTGCATTCACAAAATCAATCTGGAGAAACCTGCCGTGCAGTTGCAACAGACCCATCAGATCCTACGTGGAACGGTTTCAACAACATCGCCGCCCGCTTGTAGATGCCACGGTAGCAAAGACTCAATGAATGGCGCAACTCGCTTACACACCGCTCCTTCAGCGGCCTCTACCACAGCGACCCCAGGCCCCCACACCGGCTATCTTGCCGAGTTGCGTTGTTGTGCTCGGGTATTCGTAGTGAACGGAGTACGGATGAAAACGGTCTGCCAACCAAGTGTATTTTTATAATGTAGATCAGGGTTCAGTTTCCTCTTTGAGGCTCGGGATAATCTCCATGGTTGGTTCGTTGGAAGTTTGCAGTTTGTACGTCTACAATGCAGTGTGATCTAAACCATCTGCTGCAGGGCAGCTTCACACCGAGTCTCAGGCTAACTTTCGCAGGAGTTGAATAGGATCCATGGCCCCAACGAACCCGTCCGCCTCCTTCTTTTCAACCCAAAAGCGCTCCGCATGCGACCGATGCCGAAAACAGAAACTACGCTGCCCAGTCCGAGTTGATGATACACAACACTGCGATCGATGCATTCGAGCGGGAGTTCCTTGCGTCACCGGCTACACGCAGCCCCTAGGGCGCTCTTGCCATGATGTCTTGGGGAGACGGAGCAGCATTTCTAAGACGGCCCGCGCCGGTGCGATAAGGTACCAACCTACCGATCCATCGCCACCTGGGTCTTCCGGATCGCAGTCCACCGCCGAGACAAGGTCCGGCACGTCACTGAACCCGAGTCCGAGAGCCTCGTACTTTGGCGGGCTGTTGCCTAAAGACATTGATGATTTGCACTCACTCGCCAACCATCACTTCGACTTGGACGACCTCGCTAGTTCGTACGTGGAGTCGGAAGCGCTGCTGTCCCTCAACCAGCCAGTTGATCTAGACTATCACATGGATATTGGAGATGGTCAATTTCATGATCCAGCTCTGTCGCACAACAAGGAAGGCAATTTGATAGCCGCACTTGAGTCTACTACTACTTTAGAAGAGCCTGTGGACTTTCGTAAGGAGTCCGAGGCCTTATCCTGGGCTCATTGCGATCTTCGACTATCACAGCTCAGCGTTGACTTGTGTAAACAAATGGAGGTATGCAAGAAGGCGGAACAATACCCTCACGAGGGGGATCAACCAGTCGCCGGCAAGGCCATCCCTGGTTCCACCAACCGACAGGCCGATCCAAACGCCTTCGGCAGTGCACTATGCAGCACGTCTGAGTTCCTCACCATTTTCCAATGTAACACCAGACGGAGCGACATGGCTGGACAAGGGAATTCCTTTCCTTCACCAAGTTTTACCTGTATTCTCAACTTGCTGGCGTGTTATGCACGGATCGTAGCCATCTTCGACAGCTTGCTACTCGATCTTTACGATCAACTCAAAAAGGGACCAACCTCGACATCCCAATCCGCCACATCAAGAGATCCCCAAACTCTACCAGGGCTTCAGCTTGGAGGGTTTGTTGTCCAACAAGGCACACTGCAGACGAAGATACTTGTACAAACAATCGAACATCAGTTTGAGACCATTGAGAAGACACTTAGCCTACCTCTCGAGCTGAGGGTCTCGGGTAAACAAGACGAGTATCCTGATGGTCTACTACATGGTGGTATAGATCAAGCTTCACTGTCGAGTGTTTTGAATTGTTTTCGGGGCATGGATCAGGCAGCGGGCGCTGAGAATAGAACCCATTTTGTGGGATCACTAGCATCACTGAAGGAAGCTATTGTTAATGTCAAGCGGATCTTAGATACATAGTGGCGGAATCAGACGATCAATTTCCTCAATGAACGGCTTGTTGATTCAATTAAATGAGATCTCGTAGCCAGTTTTCTATGATGACAAGGCAATTGCGATAATCATCGCAGAGGTGATGCAGTTTTGACGCTCAAATTCAGGGAAAGAAAATCTAACACAGTACATGATGAAACGTGCTACGTTCAAATGACGCGTGTGCAAACACCTGACACCCATCTTCAAGCTATCATTGCGCCATACCCTTACTCCCTAATCTTCAACAGCCTGGGGTAGTGTGCTTCCCCTGGCGCATCAAACGTCTCAATCAGTGCAGCAACGGCGGGATGCAGTCCTGAACCAATAGCTCTCCGAGCCCATTCCTCCATTGACAAGACTTCATACGATGCTTCAACACCATTGTGCTTCCCAATCTCATTCATCCTGTCCATGGGAATAACAATATCGCCCACGTTGTTGAAGTATGAGACCCCATTACCTTGTCTCGGTTCAGCACGGAGCAGCTCCCGGATGATGTCAGAACAGACACTCTCAACGCGGACGAGGTCAAAAGCTCCTTTGTTGTGGTTTGCCTTAGGTACGGCTTTGATACGATGGGAGTAGTGAAGAAGAGCGTTGACCCAGTCGAACTCTGCCTCCGCGACACTGGCGTCATCACCGGCGCGTATGATGGTAGAAGGCCGTTGGATCCAAATCTTCAGGCCATGTAAGGCGTTGACTTTCTCGAGAAGACCCTCGCATACCCATTTGCCGCACATGTAGCCATGAGTGCCATCGGGCGAAGGCTTGATCCCACTTGCTGTGGCCGAAACCTCGGGGAATTCGTCTTGGCCGTACAGCAAGCAGACTCCCACAGAAGAAACGTAGTGGATAGGAATCATGCGTGGCAGGCACTTGCGTACCAAATACCGGGTGGACTCGACGTTGGTTTGCTTGACAGCTGAGTAGTACTTGAGATGGGATGTGTCGGAGCCGTTGTGGATCACGGCGTCAACCTCCCAAAAGATTGAAGTCTCCTGCTCTTCAGTGAGGCCAAAGCGGGGAAGCCGTAAGTCACCCTCGTAGTAGACGATGCGGTCGGAAGCAGGTGGCAATCGTCCCTTTTCAAGTCGTTCTGAAAGCCGACGAACTGCGACGCAGATGATCTTTGTGATTGATGGCTGTTCCAAAAGCTGGTTGAGGAGATGGTGCCCAAGAAGACCACTGCTTCCAGTGAGAAGAACAACGTTGGGTTGCTTTTTTGGAGGATTGATACTTGGGAATGGGATGATGCCAAATGGTGGCGACATCTCGGCTTCCCAGTCGATCCCCTGAACAGCTGCATCATCCTTGTCCGAAGCGCTTCCAGGGGTGGTGATTGAAGTGGAGGGTGATGAAGGCTCTGGACTGCTCTCGGTCGGTGGTGTCGCGATAGTGG